CCAGCGTACGCCAGCGGCAGTTCGGGGAAAGAATAGATATTGATCTAGCGTTTCCAGCGTCAACAGCGTACGCTAGCGTGCCCCTAGGGCACGCTGGCGCAGCGAGGGCACGGGAAGCATAGCTATCGATATAGCTTCTCCAGCGTTTCTCCAGCATTTTCCCAGCGCTTGCAGCGACGGGGCTAGAGAGGGGCTAGAGAGTATTGAAAGTAGGAGAGTACAAAATACTCTCCTCCCTTCAATACTCTCTAGCCCCTCTCTAGCCCCGTCGCTGCAAGCGCTGGGAAAACGCTGGAGAAACGCTGGTGAAGCTAGATCGATAGCTATGCTTCCCGTGCCCTCGCTACGCCAGCGTGCGCTAGCGTGCCGCTGGCGTGCGCTGCGTGCTACGACGCTGGGAACGCTAGATCGATATCTATCCTTTCCCCGACACTGCCGCTGGCGTACGCTGGAAGCGCTACGCTACGCTGCCGCAAAGTATAAACGCAGCCTTACTGTTCATCAAGCATCGTACTCAGCTATGTTAGATGTTCCAAACTTGCTGGAAGTATTCTACAGGAAGTCACGCAAAGAGGGCAGCTCATGCGCATTTGCAAAGTCTCCATTCCCACTTCTGTATCGCTTGAACAACTTCATGCTGTCATAAGTATTTTTCATTGATCATAGATATCACGATTTTTGAGCTTCCTCAGTAATTTGATAGCCGAGATAAAGTGCAAACGTTGTTGTCGAAAACTCACTTTTGTGTCGACCCGACACTCCATTTCAATAGAATAAAAATCGACAGAAATCAAGAAATAGTAGGAAGGCAATTACACTATCCAAAGAGCGAAAAATTATCTATCGAACAGCATAGAAGGTGGTGGAGTCGATTTCTTGTTTCCATATAGAAAGGGTAAATTGAGTATTCGTAATCACTCGGCATCCACCTGCGGCCCTACCACCAGTGGTTGTTTTCCTTCTACATCGATCACTGCTCCATCACCACTGGTAGAACAAGTCAGAAGATCACGTCGCGCTGCGCTCGTCGCCCCAGACTCGTCGCAATGTTAGAAACTATGTGCTCAGCACGAGAAATGCCACGTTAAGGGAAAACTGCCCTGTCACTCAAAAGCTTCCATATGGCATCAACCAAAACAGCTTCGAAGGAGGTCTCATGGTTTATACCAAAATTAACGAAGTCATTGAGGATGCAAACCTCCGAACTTTTACGGAACTTTACTGTGGCAACACTGGAAGAGGGGCAAAAGAAAAAGAGGGTCTGAATA